TCGTGGTTTATAAGTCAAGTACCCTTACTTTATTCCTCTTCAGGCTACTTATGATATTTTATTCTCCAACATAAAATTTTGATTAGCTAGTCAAGTTTCACCAAAAGTTCTATTACTCAGTCTGAGGGAAAGCATCTTGAGGCTGTGAAACCTCACAATCCATGAGTGTAATGTGTCTTCTATTTATTCTTCATTTCAATAGTGCTTCATAATGTTCTCTATGTTAGTATATTTATTACATGTATTTATTAGATTTATTAGATGCTTGATATGTTTGATGATGTTTTATATATATATAATATATATTATTTATATATAAATGGCATTTTTCAAAATCAGTTCTGTAGGCCATAATATTTTTCTTTGAGCCTCCCTGGTGGCTTAGGAGTTAAGTTTCAGCACTATCACTGCTAAGGCCTGAGTTCGATCCTGGCCAAGGAGCTGACCCACATATAGTACAGCAGATCCCTCATGTCTCACCCACTTATCCCCTCAGCAGTACATCTGCCTGCTCTGCTCCCCACTCTTTCTCTGGTGAATTCTCTTAACCCTGCACCTCTGGCTTATACCTCAGTTCTTCTATGCAAAAATTTAAAAAAGAATATTCTTCAGTTTTCTCACTTGTCCATTCTGTCCATCACAGATGTTCCTAAAGCACTGTCTCAACACATCACTGTCCAGCTCAAGACCGAGATGCTTGGTGAATCAAATCCAAGGGACTCAAACTGCCATTCTTCTTTTTGCATTTCTGTTTATTGCCCTCCTTACCCCACTTGAACATTTGTACTGACTTTGCTTTCATCTGCTTACTTTCCCCTTTGTTCCTTCTGTTCTTTCCAGATCCAGAAAACCCTTCCTTTCAGAGTAGTCCCACCCTTTCCATCTGGACAACTTAGTCCAAGTCCCATCTTGCTCATGCAGCCTGATAAAGCCAATCACACACGCTGTTCCCTTGATGATCTACCATGACCCTCTTAAGCTACACGGAACCTTTGCTCATAATCGTGTACAACAGTATTGTTCATTAATAGCTGCATGAATATGTCTTTGTCTTCATTCACATTTTTTGGCCCTTCCAACTTGAGTTTGCCTACCTACCATTGAGAACATTATGAATGAAAAGATCAAAATGGGGAGACAAGAAGGTAGGGCTACCAGTAGTCCACATGGTGACTGTGAGTTAGAGAAAGGCGCCCAGTCCTGTGAATGAGTGCACATCTTGGCGTTCAGATCAAGGACTGGATTTCATCCTCTGCTCTCCTTCAGCCAGTGTCCTTGTGCAGTGAGCAACCCCTACAACCGTGCATGGTGATACCAGTGGCTGGTGCGAGCATGATGCATATCACCCCACCTCTGCACTTTATTATCCCTAGGGCCTAAAGGCCAACATGACACGTCTTTACCAGCTGATAACAGAACCCCAGTTTTCCCGCTGCTCCAAACCAGCCAAGTATAAGAAGCTGCTGTTTGCCCTCTGCTTCTTCCACTCTGTGTTACTGGAACGCAAAAAATTCCTGCAGCTCGGTTGGAACATTGTCTATGGCTTCAATGACTCTGACTTTGAGGTTTGTGCTAACCAGTTCCCCCCCCCCCAGTCCCCTAGCCCTCTCTCCTTATACTTCCTGTCCTGTGAGTGTATCTATTGACCAGCCTGTATTGGAGTTCCCCCCATAACTTTGTTTGGGACTGGGGATTTGGACTGTGGCCATGCACAGGTGTCAGAGAACTTGCTGAGTCTTTATCTGGATGAGTACGAGGAGACACCGTGGGATGCACTCAAGTACCTCATTGCTGGCATCAACTATGGTGGGCATGTCACGGATGACTGGGACCGGCGCCTACTCATCACCTACATCAATGACTATTTCAACGAGCAGTCTCTATCAACCCCCTTCTACCGGTGAGGGGAGGGAGGGTGGCACTGAACAGGGGATTGGAGGATGCAAACAGACCTGATGGCAGAACTGGAGAAATGTTTGAGAAGAGGATATGAGTTTGTGGAAGTGGGATAGGGAACAAGAGCAGGGAGTTGAACAGACAGGAGATGCATTTGGACCAGGGTCTTGGGTTGGCATGGAAGCCCCCAGAGTCCTCTCAGTGGGGTAATGATAATTATGCTGTGGATCCTTAGGTTGTCAGTATTGGAGACTTATTTCATCCCCAAAGATGGAAGCCTGGCCTCTTACAAGGAATACATCAGCATGTTGCCTAGCATGGACCCCCCTGAGGTCTTTGGCCAGCATCCCAATGCCGATGTGGCCTCTCAGATCACTGAGGCACGCACTCTCTTTGATACTCTGCTTTCCCTGCAACCCCAGATTACACCCATCAGGGCTGGAGGACAGACCAGGGAAGAGAAGGTAAGGGACACCTGGGCCATGAGCTGTCAGAGGCAAGAACAGAGACCTGGTGTGAGGGGCAATGATAAGGGGTCTATACTTACAGCTCTGCCTCCTCAGGTTCTGGAATTGGCTGCTGATGTGAAACAGAAGATCCCTGAAATGATTGACTATGAGGGTACCCAAAAACTGCTGGCTCTAGACCCTTCCCCCCTCAATGTGGTCCTTCTACAGGAGATCCATAGATACAACAGGCTTATAGATACCATTTTGTAAGAGAAAGAGGGACTCTCTGGAACATGGGGAGGGGGCCTAGGATGACTCTCCTAGGGCCACCCCATCTCTAACCTTCCATCTATCTTATCCTGTTCAGGTCCTCACTGACAGACCTAGAAAAAGGTATCCAGGGCCTCATCGTCATGTCTACAAGCTTGGAAGAGATTTTCAGTTGCATCTTTGATGCACATGTCCCTCCACTCTGGGGAAAGGCAAGATTATATCACCGTAAATCCTACTCCAGCAATAAGTTGTTAGCTCATCCTTATGCCCCCTGGTGCTAGGGCGGCTTATAGCAAACTGCAGTGAGCCTGGGTTCTGGTACCAAATAGACTCAAGGTTGAAATCTCACTCTGCCTTTCACTGCCTTTGCACAATTTACTAATTTAGAAAGTTAGGGCAAATCACTAACCTCTTCAATCTGTTTCAAAAGATTCCTAGTACTATACATAACAGTAGGTGCTGCATTAATGGTAATTACTTAATATTACTGTCGCAATTGTTATTGATAAAATAGTTGTCATTTTACGCTGCTTTTCTGGGAGGTGATTTTTGGAAAGCTTTGCTCAACTATAGTTGGGAACGCCGGCTGAAATCAATCACACAGTTCTGTTGATTTTGGATGCTCAAAATAAGGATTTGAATGCATGAATAAATTAATTAACACACACAATGCCTCCCTCAGGCATATCCTTCACAAAAGCCATTGGCTGCGTGGACCCGGGACTTGGCCATGCGTGTGGAACAGTTTGAGCTGTGGGCTAGCCGAGCTCGGCCTCCTGTGATCTTCTGGCTGTCTGGCTTCACCTTTCCCACTGGTTTCCTCACTGCCGTGCTGCAGTCTTCAGCTCGCCAAAACAATGTAAGCAATGTGGAAAGTGTTGGGAATGGATGCTGGGAAACAGGTATTTGCTTTCCTCTTTGGAGTTTCACCCTTACTATTCTTACCTTCAACACCCAGATTTCAGTGGACAGCCTCTCGTGGGAGTTTATTGTTTCCACTGTGGATGACAGCAACCTAGTGTATCCACCCAAGGTGGGAGCCAGCTGTGCTTGGGGATCTGAGCAAAGATGGGTGGGGTGAGGGAGGGTGCTGGGAACAAGGGTGGGAAGTAATTGAGAAGAGAAGAGAGAGGGGAGGTTAGAGGTACTGGCAACCAAGGGTCTAGACTTCCCCCAACCCTGTCCCATCTCTCCCCAGGATGGTGTGTGGGTTCGGGGTCTTTTTCTGGAGGGTGCTGGCTGGGACCGGAAGAATTCCTGCTTGGTGGAGGCAGAGCCCATGCAGCTTGTCTGCCTCATGCCCACCATCCACTTCCGGCCTGCTGAGAGCCGCAAGAAGAGTGCCAAAGGTGAGACCAGCCCCCTTGGACCTCTTGCTGGCTGGGATCCTGCCTCACCCTCTGCTCCACCCATGCAGCCCTGACAGATAGGCTGGGACACACACACACATACTCCTTCTGCCTTACTTTCCCAGAAGTTCTGGTCTCACTTTTGTCTTCTCCTTTCCTTCAGGCATGTACTCTTGTCCGTGCTATTATTATCCCAACCGGGCAGGCAGTACAGACAGAGCCTCCTTTGTCATTGGCATCGACCTGCGGTCTGGGACTATGACATCTGACCACTGGATCAAGAGAGGCACTGCTCTACTCATGAGCCTGGACAGCTGAAACAGCCGCGGCCTCCTCCCTGCTTGAGAAAGGATCAAGGATAGGGACTCTAGGAATGAAGGCTGATAATGCATCTCAGACTGTGACTGGATCTGATTCGCGCCTTTCACCTTGGTTGAATTTGTTGTGTGATGAGGCCAGAGATACTTGTTTGTGCTAGCCATAAAGGTGGAAGAATTGTACTGGAGTCCACAAGCCCTAAATTTTATCACAATGGAATGGCAGGGGTTTGGGGAGGAAGGAAGACCAGGTCATGCAAAGGACTGGAGCTCGGGTGAGGGGCTGTGGGGAAAGGTGCAAGGGAAGCGGCCTTGAGGGATGGGGAGGCGTGGTCTAAACCGGCTGGTTTGGTGGAGGGGCTAAAGAGGGTGTGGCTAATTTCGGGGCTGGACTGCAGTGGGTGGAGCGGGTCTTTGGAAAAGCGCGAGAACCCAAATGGAATAGGGCTTTTTCAGGTAGGGGTCGGGGATGGACCCCAGTATACAGCACGCAGAACCCGGGGCCCCGCCTTCTGCACCCTGCCCTGCACCCGAGCTGAGGCGAGTGGGAGCTTCAGATGGCGGGGCGGAGCCGAAGGGGGAGACTGCGGAGCAAGAAGGGGCGGGACAACAAGAAGGGGGCGGGGCGGGAACCAGGGGGGGCGGTGTTTGTGTTGGAAAATCCAACTGCGCCACGGGGCGGAGCGGCCCCCCCAGCCCCAGCCTGGGAGAGGGGGGGCCGCTCGACCCCCTGGGAGACCTTGGGGAACCTGAACACCTGGGACACCCCAGAACCAGGTAACGGGGAGCCGCGAGGCTTCTGGACTGAGAAATCGTCTCCGAGCAGGGGGGCGGGACGCCTGAGTCTCTAGAGGAGTAGAGCTGGGGATGGACGATTAGGTCTCGGCAAAGGCACTGGGAAGAAGACTGGGGCGCCGGACATATGGGCGTGGGAGGAGGTGTTGGGAGTAACGTGCCTTGGGTTCCGATGTCAAGAGGGTCACGAAAAGAGTTCAAGTCCCCCTTGGGCTGGGATTCCCCTTCCCGACACTAGGGCGGGGCGAGGCGTGCGGCGACCTCTTAGCAGAAGGGCAGGACTTAGAGGTTAGTGTTTGCAGATGGGTAGGTCAGTGCGCGAACCCCCTGAGGCTGGACATGGTCGGAGAGGGCCCACTTCCAGTCTACCTCCATTTCTTCCCAAAGTTGAGGTGTGTAGCCTCAGCTTTGGCCCTCACACCCGGAGCCCTGAAACCTTCAGCGGTAGCCTTCGCCCTATCCGCCTGCTGCATTTCGCCTCTCTTCGTTCTGCCTCGCCCGGCTCACCCCTAGTCCCACCCCTACTCTCCAGTCTCTTGCCCTTAGCCCTCGCCCGGTTGGGGGCCTTTCCGCGCTGAACCTTCCCAACGCAGCCACGAGATGGCGAGGGCGACACGCACAGCCCCTCGCTGAGGGGAACGGGCGGGGATGAGGCTGTGAGAGAGGGCTGAATGAAGCCCCCCGCTCGGGCCTGAGGGCAAAGTGGGCTGAGGTGCTCTCTCGACTTCCTGCCGTCTCGGCACCCTCACAGGAAACTGTGGGCGGGAGAGCGCAGGGCAAAGGATGGGGAGAGAATTGGGCACTCAGTCTCCGCCTCCCCAACTGGGGTAAATAGTGAGGAGGGGGTACGCGGGTGGTTACTAAGCAACGCAGATTTCGCTTCCTGTCTGCTGTGGCTCGTGGCTGCGATTTGGGGTGGGCGTTGGCAAGGGGGGAGTTGGGAGGTGGGTGCTGGGAGACTGTAGGGAAGGTTGAGGGCAGGATGTCTGGTTCTCGGGACAGGAAGAATCCAGGGAGGAAGGGGGAGGCGGTGTGCACCGAGCTGTATAGTAACAGAAGTGGACTCGGTGTTCGTCTGGAGGGGGGCGCGACGCTAGCGCGGCGCAGATCTGCTGCGCTCCCCTTCCCTCTCGAGGGTTGCTTGCCCTGTTGCCAGAGTAACTGGAGCTGGACTGGGATGCGGATTCCCGAACTCTCGCGCCCGCCCAATCCGCTCCCAGGGACGTCCCTGACATCAGGACACTGGAAGCCAATAGAGAGGAGGCATCACAGAGCGACAGGAAGAGGGAGACGGGAGGGGTGGAGGTGGAGGAAAGGAGGAGGTAGCAGCCCGGGACCCGCACGTGCACCACCACACGCTCGCGCCCACTCCCCTCCCTCCGCCGCACGCGCCCGGGTACCGCACCCTGCGCCTGCGCTGAGGTTCAGCGCTCGCCGTCCTCCCTTCCCACCCCGACTCCCCCCATCTTGAGTCAGTGTTTGCAAACTAGTCCAGGGCTGCTCTCCTTAGCCCCACGTCTGGGTCCTCCTGCTCTCTTTCTCTGGGTCTGGAACTATTAATGCCTAGTTCTGCGTGGGAGGGGCCAGCTACCTGTTCCAGGCCAACTCCCCCCACCCCCACCCCCGCCCCAGCTGGTGCCCCACTCTCCCAGGTGGGCTGGGCGGTGCTGTGGTTTCCGGCCCCATGTGTTCCTCCGTTGCCTTCCCGGGTACGGGCTTGGGTTGTCTCCTCAAGAAAAACGAAACGGGTACCAGCGTCCCTTCCCGAGGCTTCACTCGCCGGGGCCCAGCTACAGTTGGTGGTGGGTGGGGTAGGGTGCTGCGGGGAAGCCCCGGAGGGTCCAGGTGACTCCTCCCGAGCCATCACGCCCCTTCCTTCGCCTGAATTCTTCCAGTAGGATGTGCACCAAATCACTCCCATCCCTAACACACACACACACACACACATACACACAGAGCTCATTTCGGGCTGCCTGTCCCCGACTCCACTCGTCCTTCTCGGCTTCTCCCGGTTATATAACTCTTCCTCTTGCCGTGTCCTGGTTTCAACTCCACAGACTCCGCCCTGGAACAGCGCGGGGAGGGGCAGGAGAGTTAGGGACCCAGACAGATTCCGGCTGGCGGCCGGCTGGGGAACTGGGGATCCCGCAGAGGGGGAGACAGAGCTCCGCGGGACCCGGTGTCCCCGACCCTCCCCTCCCCCCACCCCCAGCTGAGACCTCTTCTAAGAGAGAAAGCCAAGTATCTGAGAGGCGTGTCGGTCTCAGTAATGTGGGTTGGGAGGTCAGGGCTGGAGAAGGGAGGCTGGAGTCCCTTGGATTGACGCTGTACAGAGGTTTAAAAGAGATAAAGGCTGGACGCCTGGGTCCCTTCCTTTCCTTTTGGGGGGGGTCCCAGAATTCCTAAAGCTATTTCCCTGGAAGCTTAGCCAGCAGACCCTCTCCGCCCGTAGGGGTCAAAGGTCTGTGTGAGAGGTAGCCTGGGATGATGTCACCAGTGCACGTGCCCGGGATGGTTGCCAGGCAATGAGGCCTCCTCCCCTTTCCATTCGGCCCCTACCCCACCTCTGCCCCGAGTCCAGTTCCAGCCCCGTGCCACTTTTTCCCCTTCTCCCTTCCTGTGGTCTTAGCATTCTGCAGGTGGGAAACCCTGGCCTGGAGTTTGTTTTTTTTTTTTTTTTGGTGGGGGAGGGGCGAGGGTGTGGTGTGGCCAAAAGACTTTGCCTCTTTGCTGGGCTAAGAGAACCCTGGGTCACTTTGCCCTTGATTGATACAGAAGAGTTTCTCTTCCAAGTCTCCTCCCCACTTCAAAGAGCTTCACGACAACCTTTTTACTTTCCCACCTGCTGCATTGTCAAGTGTCCTATTGCCCTGTCCACATTTTGAATTGAAGTGGGAGTGGCTGCAAGATAGGTATACCCAGGAAAAGAGCTGCACAGTGGATTCACTGGACTTCAGTTTATCCCTGACTTTAATCAATGGTACCCCCACCTCTCACAGTAAGGAAAAAGGTCAAGATGCAATATGAGAGTGAAAAGTCAGGGTCTTTATTGTAAGTGAGGGATCAATTTGTAGCCCTTCTCGAGCCAAGAGGACCTCAGATGATAGCTATAGCTCATCTCCTCTATTGAGTTAAATCCTGGGGCTGGTTGTGGCATGGAGGGTGGGGGGGATCTGTATACCTTAGAGATTGGGCAGTCAGGTCAGACTTGGCTTCCCTACCCAGCTCTGTCACTAGTGGCTCTTGGGAATAGGAAAGGTCATAACCTCACTGAGCCACTCATTCAGAATCTGAGAAATTTAAATATCAATACCTACTTTTTAGACTGTCGGGAGTGAAAATGAGTTAACATAACCTGCAAGACACTTAGCATGGATGCTTGGCACAGAATGAACCCTGAATGAATGTTCATTATGAAATTCTTATTGTTAAGTGGTGGTAGTTATTTTTATTATTATATGTTGTATATCGATGGACCTGCTTCAAACTGGTCAGGACCTTAGGAGTTTATTAGGGAGGAGTGGGGATTTTCTATTAATTTGGTGGGTGGAGGGCTGGGGATTAGCTTCCACTGCTTTGTGCACTTTATTTGACGAAAGCTTTAGTCAGATTTGTATTGCTTTCTTTAGGATTATTTTCCCCCCTCTTAGAGAAGAAATAGCTCAGACTATTTCTCTGGCTGTGAAAATAAAATAATTGTATTGTGGTTCTTGATTTTTAAGCAAGACCCCAGTCCCCTCCCATGTTGTTGTCGGAAGCCTTTTAATTTTGCATAGG